CACACACTTAAATGTAGACCAAGCTGTCCAGTGGCAGCCAGTTACAGAGATTGGGACAATCTACAACTCTGCCGGAGGACTTACAATGGCCTGCTTTATTCAAATGAAAAAGAGAACTGCTCTAGTTTCCGACAGGTTGCAATGCCTTCAGGGTCGCCCTTCCCCTTTGTTCCTCTCTGATCTTGCGGGACGGGTTGGTCCGGTCTGTGATGGACCTCTATGAACTATTCAGCAATTTCCTCAAACAGATGACGGTCTGTGTGACGTGTTGACAGTAGAAGAATGAGAGAGAAATACGCATACTGTTAAGATTAACTTGTTGAGTAAAAGGACATAAACCGGCTCATTCGGAAAGGCGGTGTGTACACGAGGCATCGATGATGTGCGAAGTGCAGTAATCCGTACAAAGCCATTTAGTATCGGTTTACTGTGTTTAGGTTATTTAAAGTGAAACTGTCACATGGGAGGAACGATGACCGTATAGCAATGCTGACTTATAGTTGATGGAAAGTCAATGTGCACCAAACGTCCCCCCGCAACCTCAACACCCACCGTTCGTATTTCCACCTTTACTGTCAAATTTGTAAATGGGAGGTTTTCTCAAATTTGACAGTAAAGGTGGAAATACTAACAGTGGGTGTTGAGGTTGCAGGGGGATGTTTGATGCACACTGATTTTCCAGATAACGTACAGATTGATCAATCTTGTACATTAACATACAATGTATCACCCAAACCTTGACACTTTGTAGGACAAGACAGTGTTTACATCTAGCTTACAATGGATAGAGATTTGCCAGCACGGTACACACAGGGTTAGTTACGGTAAACATAACTCTCCAACCCACTACTTTAAGTAGAACTGATGCCAAAACCTTTGCACCTTGAACTGATACCGGTTTTTCGAGTATCGAGTACCAATATTTGTTTTTGAAGTGTGCCATGACCCTGATTTGCATTTGAAGCCGGTGTTCTAGCGAAAGAACACCGGCTTCACTTGCCGAGGCTGTCTGGCTTCCTGACCAATTGGGAAGCTGGGTGGTGAATCATGAGGTTCCTGAATGGCTTCCTGAATGGTTAGGAAGCCAGGCTGCCTACCAACAAGTGACTTCCTAGCCAATCAGGAAACCGGGTGGCACATCATGACCCACCTCCCGGCTTCCTGATTGGTCAGTAAGCCAGGCTGCCTAGGAACAAGTAAAGCTGACTTCCTAGCCAATCAGGAAGCCGGACAACACATCATGACCCGCCTCCTGGCTTCCAGGTTGGCTAGGAAGCCAGCTTCACTTGTTCCTAGGCAACCTGGCTTCCTGACCAATCAGGAAGCCGGGACGTTGGTAATTACGTGCCACCCGGCTTCCTGATTGGTTAGGAGGCCAGGCTGCCTAGCAACAAGTGAATCTGACTTCCTTGCCAATAAGGAACCCGGGAGGTGGGTCATAACCCACCGCCCGGCTTCCTGATTGCAAAGGAAAGCGGCTCCCTCGGCACTGCCGCTCAGAGGCAAATCTTCCTCTGACCGGAAGTACCACTATCGGAGCATTTGGGCGAGTACGTATACTCGCCTAAATACTCGGTATAGGTACCGATACTAGTATTGGTATTGGTGCATCCTTAGTTATAACCCCTGACAGCTTTTATTTGCAATCTGTGTTTCATTGGGGGAGATTTCCCTTCATTTCCTGTCTGATTTCCACAACAGTAAGTGAGAGGAAAGTTTTCCGAACTGAGGGAAACCCTTGGTGGTTAACAGGGTCACCATTGGAATCAGCATTAGTGTGTCGGTGAAGAACAAGGGAAGGCAACATATAAGCAGATTATTTATTCACAGCCTTAAAGGAAATCTCTGCACCATATCAGCGGGTGATTATTGTATCGACTACATTAAAACAAAACTTCAGATATCTCACAGTGATTCATTTTCTCCGCAGATCCTCGGAGCGGTGATCCTTGGCTGCGGAATATGGATTCTCGCGGACAAGTCCAGTTTCATAGCTGTGTTACGTAAGTGTGTTCTAGTATCTTAGTGGCATCAAAACTAGTAAAGTATATCTAAAGCTAAACATTTTTACTTTATTTTGAATACAGAAGGTAATAGTTAAAACCATTGTTGTTTGTTTTTTTCTCTGATGGGGAGGGAGAGGAAATCTCTCCAAAGTAAAAGGCCTCATTTTAGAGAGTTGTCACCAGTTCAGGTGTCCATATTGGATGATCTTCCCTCTAATTCTGTCCTAGTGACAACGGTCAGATTTTGACTTCCTGTCCTTTGGTTTGGTTTTGCTGACACTGGTATATTTTAGTTGATTGAATTCTCATCAACCGGCAAGCTACAGATATATCTGGTAATCTACTTTGCCGAGTCCATTTTAGCCCTGTCAGAGATACCAAGCGCTGATGAAGGTAGAGTGTGTTTGGCTTCCGAAACATGTTGGGTGTTATATGTGATCATATTATGGTCACCTAAAAGCAATTTAGACTCTGTCACCAAATGCTTTTGGTACTTTTGTCGAATGTTTTTTGAGTCACGTTCTGGGTTCTCACCAACGGGCAACCATGAGCAGCCTTACCAAGAGCGAGTTGGCTTGCCAAATAATTAAACTCTCCTTTCTTTTTAATGAATAAGTGTTGAAGTTCCAGCCCCTCTTGCATATATTCTATTGAAGGTCACCAATCCTGGTGTCCATATTGGATGATCTCCCCCCTAATCCTGTTCTGGTGACAACTGACAAGCTTTGAATTTCCCATCACTTTCTGTCCAGTGACCTTTCCCCAGTGGTGGTTCTAACCCTCCCAATTCTATGCAAAATAAATTAAAAACAAATGTTTTTGGCTTTAAATTTGTTTTTCCCCCCTTTCCCCCCCCCCCAGCTGTTTAATGGACTCTGTGACATTTCATAATTTTTGGCCCCAATTTGGTATTTTCAGAAACTGCAAAACATGCAGTTTTGCTGTTTTGCAAAGAAACCTAAGCCCAACCTGCTGTAAAATCTTAACGTGACACTAAACTCAGGAGATAAATCTTAAAATTACATTTGAGTACCATAACTATTAACAACAATGTATCTTATTAGTGTATCACTCGGCTGTAGATCCTCCAATCAACTCTGAATTGGTGCTGACACTGTCCTTCCTTCTGGAGGGGGGCTACTTTTGTTCCCTATGATCCCTGTGTGTGTTGTAAAGTAGTCACCGCTCTGAGCTCACTCCTGGGATGGACTACAATCTTAATATAAATTAAAAATATTAACATGACATTGTAGTCCATCTCAGGAGTGAGCTTGGAGCAGTGACTACTTTACAACACACACAGGGACCATGGGGAACAAAAGTAGCCCCCCTCCAGAAGGAAGGACAGTGTCAGCACCAATCCAGAGATTTGAGAATCTACTGCCGAGTGATACACAAATAAGATACATGGTTGTTAATAGTTAAGGTACTTGAATGTATTTTTAAGATTTAACTTCTGAATTTAGTGTCACTTTATAAAACACAGAGGGCTCAGATGCATGTGTGAGTATATGAGGAATCCTGGTGCCTCTATAGCCTCCTGGTGCCTATATGGTCCTACTGAAACACATACAGAAGTCCTTCTCCAGACAAAAACATAACTGACATGTGCATAGTATATAATGCATACTGAAATCCAGCAGGGCGCCAGCGACATTCACGTGAGTGATTGCTTATTTTCCGTTTACAGAGAACTCGTCCCATTCGATAAATGTCGGATCGTACATCCTGATTGCAATTGGAGGGGTCACGATGATCATGGGATTCTTGGGATGTATCGGAGCTGTGAATGAAGTCCGCTGTCTCTTGGCACTGGTGAGTATGTGGCAGAGAGTGTACATTGGCTCCATCATCATTCCTAAGTGTCACAGGAGAGCCTCAGTTTTCAGAATCCAATATGGCCATGCTGTGGGCTGATGGAGACCTGTTATGACTCATAGAAAGACACCATGACAATGTCTCTTCAATGTGTATTGCAATGCTGTACAAAGAATTCAGAGTATTCCATAGTTACATAGTATCTGAGGTTAAATAAAGACACAGGTCCATCAAGTTCAACCTTTGTGTGTACACGAGTGTCTGTGTGACCTTGTGTTTAAGAGTACCTGTACCCCTGTATGTTACAGTCTCTGAGGAAGGTATCTAAATGATTTTTGAATGATTCAGTACTCTCAGCTGATACCACTGCTTGTGGCAGAGAGTTCCAGACTTTAACCGCTCTAACTGAAACAAAGCCCCTATGCCCCTTGTGGTTAAATCTTTTCTCCACCAGTTTTAGGTATTATAAGGCAACTCCTTACTGCTTGCCCCTCTAGGCCTTTAAGTGGATGGCAATGCCAGAGCAGTGTGATCTCTTTGCAGAGAGGTGAATGGGCTTTCTTGATCATTTGATCATTGTTATTGGGTATCACAGTGACCATGTGGTTGGCAGCCCATCACATCAGCTTCAAGTCATTGCTAGATGACCGTGCAGTCACGGTGCTGGGGATGCCCGATTGAGCAAAGTAGTATGCATATATATGGCTTGGGAAGAGGTAATGGGTATGTCTTGAGTGGATTACATCATGTTTAATTTGAGATATTTCATGCCAATGAGCATCTGTTTAAAGGAGAACTATGAGGCGATTGCTTTTCACTCCCCTCATAGTTCTAGACGACCTGTGACAATGAGACTGTCACAGGTCGGCTCAGTAGATCGGGAGGTGAGCGAACACATACCGGCGTTCGCTCACCTCTCGATCCTATCACGGCTCTCTGCCATGACAGGGGAGGGGCTGGATTCCCACCTCCCCGCTCCGATCCGTCAGCGCTGACTGGCGGAACGGACAGGGAAGGGGGCGGGTACAGCTGGCTCTGCCTCTAGATAGGCAGAGCCAGCTGTCACTCACGCAGCTGGGCGGATCTCGACATCAATGTCGGGATCTGCTCCGGCTGCGGCGTCTCAGTATACCGCTAGCTGTAGCTCGCGGTATACTGAGCCTAGGGTAACGGGAGGACGCTAGTTTGTGTCCTCCCATTACCCTAAGGAGAACTATGGGGAAAAGCCCTGACCCCATAGTTCTCCTTTTAATGATAGGAGTGAAAATCAAGATTAATAGGCTTAGTTAACATTTATATACCACATTTTAGCTGTGTGTACTGTAGTAGAGATAAACACAAATGGTCAAGCAGCATGTAACCAACAGGGCATTCCTTTCACATTCTGTTGTCTTCTATGTAATCCACTTGCTACAAAGATGTTGCCACCCCACCGCCCCCTTGCTTTACGTCTAATACATTGTATAATTACTGAAGTGTAACCAGAGCATAGAACATTTCCCTCATTCTCGCACACTATTGGCTGTTTTCTGTGCCACTCAGTTGCCAGTAATAATGTCATGTTGTTCCTTTTGTTCCCAGCTTCTTGTGTCACGTACCAATGTAGCCTCACCATAGAGAAAAATACATCATTCTCTCTTTTTGTGTTTCAGTATTTCATATTTTTGCTGCTTATACTGATTGCCCAGGTAGCCGTTGGCGTCTTCATTTACTTCCAGAGACAAGAGGTAAGCAGATTTTATTTCCCCTCGTTCTGGTTACTGTCTTCTAGTCTGAGATACCATTGTGCATGTATATTATAAAGCCAAAATTTGGGGTGGTTGGTGCAGTTGATGACATTGTGACTCGTCTTGTCTAAATTACAAGCCTTTGCAGCCTTCCAAGACGTGGCCAATGCGCAATCTTTCTATTTTCAAAGGATAAAAAGGGGAACACTTGCTCATCATTCATAAATGGCCTTACTTAATAGGGCAATATGCAAATTTTAAAGTACAAGAACCCTTAGTGACCAATCAGAATGAAAGTGTATGTCAGGGTAAAAAAATATTCACTACATCTGTCAAATACATGCAAATTTCTACATGTTTTATCCCTTTTAAAAATGCTATAAGTAGAGAAAAATGCCTGTTGATGTGCCAGAAATCCAGTGAGCTGTACCTCTTGTTCAGGCTGACAACCAGTGGTGTCACAAGGGGGGTGTGGCCCACACCCTGGTGCCACCATTGGAGGGGGTGACACCAAAATGACTGACAGTCATTTTGGTGTCACCCCTCTAAAAAGTCGGGCACGCGGTCATGCAGCAAGAGCCTTACAGTGTCTGGAGAGAGGAGGGGGCCTGGCGGCATACCTCATCCCGCCCCGTGAACGTCCCCTCCTCTCTCTGCCGACGTCCATCACCAAGATGGCAGTCGTCTATCAGATGTCCACGCATGCGCAAATGACGACACGGCGGGGTGTCACCCGGTCTAGAGACTGTATGACACCCGGCCTCGGGACACCCCTGCTGACAACACAGTGCCTTTGTTTTACCAAAATCTCAATCAGCCTTGTCAGCCCTTCCTGCTGGACTGCAGAACTCTACCCTTCCCCACTCCTCTCTGTCCCTCTCCACATGCATACATTGATTTCTTTCCCAGCAAAACAATGCTGCTATTTTGACTCCCAAGAGCCTGCCTATATTTTGTGTTTAAGAAAAGAGATCTTGGGAGATGTAGTTGGGGGGGGGGAGGGGGTGAGCCTTAGTCATTATGCAAGAATTTTACAAACCTGGTGATGATGTCACAAAGCTGTTTCCAGCTACAGGGAAAAAAGTATTGATGTCACACGATCTAGAGGGGTTGAGGGAGGTTTGGGGACAAATTTGGGTAACACTTGGACATACACGTGGTTGGGGTGAGTTCCCGGACTTTGCTCATTTATTCTAAAGAGATTATTTCTGTTACTGGAAAAAAAAAGCTTTAGAAAAACCCATGTTAGAAACTACTGATTAATGCCCTTGTTTACTTCAGCAGCTTCCTCTACCAAAACAATGGATGATATATATCCCTTTATGTCAAGAATTCTTTGTACCATGACATGATCTCATGGGACATTCCATTGTAAGAATGAGAGGGGAAGCTGCTACTAATATTCTGTAAAATAAGAACAGGAATATTTTGCTTTTCCTTCCTTGTTTCTGTTGGTTATCATACGGTTTGAAGTCACGTTGTCACTGGATTTTAGATGCGGTAACGTGCCTGATCTAAAAAAAGCAAAATCTGTGCAAGAGCCAAGCACACAATAGACTTTTATATATTCAAAATGAAACTGTGACACTACCAAAGCTATTTAACCAGTTGTTGATAGTGGACATACTACACACATCCAAAAACAAACCTCATCAAGTACACAGGACGTATGTAGTATGTCATATCCTACTGCTGTTCCCCCTCACAGACCTGCCAGCACAGCAGGGAGTTGCTCTGCTGCTGTAAAAAAAACAAAAAAAAACAGGCCATCTGACACGGTTTATAAACAGATGTAAGATGGGGAGATACAAAGTAACTGTGTTAGTTTTATAGCTACTCTGTTTCATTCATCTGCAGATCAAAGGAAAAAGCTTTAACGTGTGGATGTCGTCAGCTGAAGTGACCCTAAACTCAGGAGTTAAATCTTAAAAATACATTCAGGCACCTTAACCATGAACAACAATGTATCTTATTTGTGTATCACTCGGCTGTAGATCCTCCAATCATCTCTGAATTGGTGCCGACACTGTCCTTCCTTCTGGAGGGTGGCTACTTTTGTTCCCCCTGGTCCCTGTGTGTGTTGTAAAGTAGTCACCGCTCCAAGCTCACTCCCGGGATGGACTACAATCTCAATACAAATTAGTAAACTAAACATGATTGTAGTCCATCCCGGGGGTGAGCTTGGAGCGGTGACTACTTTACAAAACACACAGAGACCATGAGGAACAAAAGTAGCCGCCCTCCAGAAGGAAGGACAGTGTCGGCACCAATTCAGAGATGATTGGAGGATCTACAACTGAGTGATACACAAATAAGATACATTTTTGTTAATAGTTAAGGTACTTGAATGTATTTTTAAGATTTAATTCCTGAGTTTAGTGTCACTTTATCTGACCTCATCATACTTGAAATGCATTTTTAAATGTAAAAATGTCTGTAGTCCATAGGGGGTACAGGTAAGAAAGATGAACTGGGTAATGGCATACGCCATAAGAGCAGCCCCCCATAGAGCATTAACATGTACTTTTTATATTTTAGCACTGCTTCTGTACCACATTTCTGTTGAAAAACAACAAGGTTGGCTACTATTGATCCTGCTTCCTAGCCCTACCAGTTGGCCACTAAAGCAGCACATCCTAACCTTTAGCGCTTTAATATAAGATCTGCATTTAACATCCAGCTGCCTGAATCTGCTGAAAATTATGACATGCATTTTTTGCCGATAGTAACTGAGCTGACATTTGCTCTGATTACCTTGATATGCTGAGTTTGAATTGCCCGGGATCGAGACCAGTTTAAGTTTCAGTGCCCTCTATGTCCATGACAACATGTAAAAGCAAAAAAGCCTCATGTGAGTTTGCATGTTCTCCCTATGCTTGCGTGGATTTCCCCGGGTACTCCGGTTTCCTCCCACACTCCAAAGACATCCTGGTAGGTTAATTGGCTTCTGTCTAAATTGGCCCTCCTATGTATGCATGAGGGATAGGGACCTTGGATTGTAAGCTCTTGAGGGCAGGGACTGATGTGAATGTGCACTATATAAATTGTCAGCGCTATATAAATACCAATAATAAATAAATAATGCTCTGTGTCCTTTTTTTCTTTCAGCTTAAAAATGAGATGTCAACCATCATTGACAAGTTGATTGTGACCTACAACCCGACTGACGATGTGAACGACAACGCGGAGGTCACATGGGACTATATCCAGCACAATGTGAGTGCAAAGTGCCTGCACTGATTGACAGTTCCATGTTGTAGACTTGCTTACCACAGTGTGTCCAGCTTACTATTGCTATAGCTTGTGCTTTAAATGCTTTCTGCCTACATTAATGTTCCTCTCCGCGATGCTTGTGCAGAGGGAATGTCAATTTAAGTTCCCCCTTTAAAGTGGAAGAAAAGGCTTCCCAATAACTTACCTGTTTATTGATGCTTCCCCTCTGCTCTGATCCTGTCTGCCTACACTTTGTAATAAATAGCCCTTTTTTTTTTATTTGTATTAACTTTTTCTGTGTGATTATAGATACAGTAGCAGTAAGCTGGACACATTGTATTACGTTGGACATGGAATTGTCGAGACCTAGCAGCGGACACTCATTTCTGACAGCTCTGGTCTCCACCAACAATCAGGAACCGATCAGAGCTGTTCCTGATCATGTGATCGTTGACTTAGCTATGAAATAGTGTTCACGTGCAAGATTGGGAGGTGAGGGCCGCAGCACACCTGGGCGATCCGTGCACGATACCGTGCGGTCGCGGAGTTGCCCATCACCGACGATCGTGCTGTGGGCGCCATTATTTCCTAATGGCACCTTAGTCGCTTTGGGCAGATTCCGCCAATGCATCTAAACACGATCGCAGCTAAAACAGCAGCACGTCGCGTACATGTACCTTTTTTCTGCGATTGCCGCGCGGAGGTGTCCCATTGAAATCAATTGGGCCGCGCGACAACCGCTGTCTGCAATTGTGCACAACCGCGCGATCCCAGGACGGACGCCCCGGATCGCTCAGGTCTGCACCGGCCCTGATTCACAGAAAATAGCTTCCAGACTACAGCCAAATACTTGTAACAATGTGTCACAATATGGTATAAATGTATCCACTGTGCTCTAATAACATCAGCACCATCTTTTAGCTGTAAAGAGCGTTCCCCAGATCCTCTGATCCCACAGGGAGTAGGATGTCACAATGCACTTACACACTGCCAGGTTGAGACATCTTGTGCACCCAGTACCCGTTACAGGTATGGATGTACCCTATAGTGGGAATCACCGCACTTCATTCACTAGCCAGAGCAAGTGGCCAATTAAATTAATAGCTTCAAACAGGATCGTTGGTAAAATAAGGAATCGTCCAAGTTGTAGTGGAATGATCACACAGTGACTCAGAACTCTGATGGAGATATATCTCTATATCATGGAAAAGAAAGACTCAGAATGGTTCAAGTAAACCACTCCATTTAAATTGAATAAAAACACTGTGATCTTCGGGCTATAGTGCAATAGAGGGAAACGCACACCAGATCATAACAGTCCGCTGCATGCAACTACATTCTGATATTAAACATTTGAGTACAGGTCCCCTTTTTCTCGACTATTAGACGCTATAATATAAATTACTTTATTTGACTTTATTATTAATATGGTTTTATTTTGGTTACAGTTCAAATGCTGCGGCTGGAAGAGCTACCAGAACTGGACCAACAACGAAATTGTTGCCAACAACACGGACACCTTTCCCTGCTCTTGCGTTCAGAATTCTGATGTTTCTTATGGCTTTTGTAACACCACCGTGTCAAACCTCTATCAGAATGTAAGTGACCACCTACCCACGGGGGACAGATGGACATGCCATTCATGTAGAAAGTGTAACTGCACAAGGGCTGTTGGGGGTGGACAAGGGGCCCATTTATACTAGATGTAGGACAAGTCAAATGTTGGGACCCCTTACATTGTCGTGTTTGCAGCATGTTCCTTTACTGCTTAGTGCGCACCAACTGGGTCTATGGGAAGCAATGAATTTTACCTTGACATTATGTTGGGCTTGCTTTGAGCAACTCAGTGCAATGCACATGGTGCGAATGGGCTCCCAAGTGTCTTGGATCTAGTTCAAGGTGAAAGGGGAGGAAATATTGGTAGCGCACGTGGGCCCTTTTGCTGATTTTGTCTGCCACTGTCCACATGTTTGGCAGACACAGTTAAGCTCACAGTGTGCAATGAAATCAGAGTAAGCAATTTCAGTCCAGGAGAGGTACAACTGTGCAAGATTGAATGGAAGGCCGGAGTTCAGCTTCAGGTTTAGACCGAAATCTGCTCTCCACCTTGTAGAAGTATCAGATACACCAAACATTCCAAAACTCTTTTTGTTGACCTGTGTAGGTGAAATCCATGCCAGATTATTTTACAGAAAGCCTTGCCCATGTTCCAGAACACAATGATAGCGAAACGCGGCCACTCCCTGCTGTGTCTAAATGTCTCCTTCTCTTTCAGGGTTGCGAGAAAAAAGGGGATAGCTGGCTGCAGGACCACCTGGGAGTCATCCTGGGAGTGTGCGTGGGAGTCGCTGTTATCGAGGTAAAGGCCGCTGATGTTTCCAAAATAACCTAAAGTGAACCTGCGCTGTGCTCATTTCAGTACCTGATAATGGGAAAAATGGCTGTGGCCAACTTCTGAAGGTCAAAGTTGCACTTTGGTCAAAATGACATGTAATTTACAACCTTCTTTATGGATCATGTTGATGGGCGTTCTTATCAACCACTGCATGTTCCATGGAAAGTGAATATAGCTACGTCCATATGAAAAACACATTAGACCTGCATGGAGGAAGGAGGTCCTCATTCCTCTATATAGATCTTTAGCTATCACTAGAGGGATCTCCAGCAGGAGGAAGGAGGTCCTGATTCCGCTATATACATCTTTCGTTATCACTAGAGGGATCCCCTGCAGGAGGAAGGAGGTCCTGATTCCTCTATATAGATCATTATTATCACTAGAGGGATCTACAGCAGAAGGAAGGGGGTCCTGATTCCTCTATATAGATCATTATTATCACTAGAGGGATCTACAGCAGGAGGAAGGAGGTCCTGATTCCCCTACATAGACCTTTAGGTATCACTAGAAGGATCACCAGCAGGAAGAAGGAGGTCCTGATTCCTCTATATAGATCTTTATTATCACTAGAGGGATCCCCAGCAGGGGGAAGGAGGTCCTGATTCCTCTATATTGATCTTTATTATCACTAGAGGGATCCCCAGCAGGAGGAAGGAGGTCCTGATTCCTCTATATAGATCTTTAGTTATCACTAGAGGGATCTTCAGCAGGAGGAAGGAAGTCCTGATTCCTCTACACAGATATTTAGTTAGACCTCTTTTAGAATACTGTGTTGACTTCTGGAGACTTCACTTTCAACAAGATATTAATAAGATAGAACGAGTCAAGAGACAGGCAAAAAAACGGTGACAGGTCTAAAGAGGGATAAAACATATGAGAAGTGACTGCATGAATTATGTACAGCCTTGAGGAAATAAGTGGGACTTTACCGAAATCTTGAAATACATAAAGGTTTGAAGAAGGTTTAGGAGGGCACAATTTCCAGTATGAAGCTGAGAGCAAGAACACAGGCACATGACCTCAAACTAGCAGGAGGAATGTTCAATACTAAGCTTAGTAGGTATTATTTTACAGAAAGAGTAGTTGATGGTGAGAACAGACCACCAGCAGAGGCCGTGAGTCATCAGTAAGTGAAGTTAAATATGCTTGGGACAAACATATCTATACTCAGGCAATAAAGGTCAGATTTAATACAAGTGGTCTGTTTCTGCCATCATTTTTCTCTGTTTCTGTGCAGGAAAACTCACATTGACTGGAGTCCTTAGATCTACCTGTGTAGTACCTCGAAGTACTCCCTCCTGGTTCTATACACATGGAAAGAATTGTCTAGAGAGGCCACCACCTTACATGGAGTTAGCAAATATAAAGTAGATTCAATAGAGATGGTACAATCAGACTGTAGATTGCATGGCCAGGTTTATTATCTGCAGATCAGCTCAGGCTTGGATCCCAGTCTGCCGAGTTTGTTTTGCTCATCCCTTGGCAGAAGTCAGCAACTTCAGGGGAACAGGCTAACAAAAGCTGGTTTCTGATTGGCTGTGTGTAAGTTACAACACATTGCATTAGGCGCTTTGTCTCTCCCCTTAAATGCCTTCACATGTTTTGAATAGTAAATCATCGAGTGCCACCTACAGGCAGAATGATGCACAGCAGCCTCGCTTTTCACACCTTCAGCCATGTAACTCAAAAAAAAACAACACGTATCTAAACCCAAATACAAAGATTTTGTATATTGTACCGGTCCTTAAATGTGGTGACTGCAAAAGTTTTCATTTTTCAAGCTTTTTAAACTTTATTTTCACCTGGTGATCCTGCCATTAAAAACTTCTATTGTCCTCGTATAGCTGGAAATAATGTAATTGGTAAGAGTCAGCACAGGCAAGAGTGCACAGGAAGTTATCAGCTCACAAAGGTTCTTTTTTTTTTGCACCTTTTCTCAAACCGATATAACAATGCTTTCAATTGTATAGTTACCTGACTAAAAGACACGAGGCGTACAGGGCACACTTAGAGGCATGAGGCTTGCAGGGCACACTTAGAGGCATGAGGCTTGCAGGGCACACTTGGAGATGCAGGGCACGCTTGGAGAGGCCTGACGCGCTTGGAGGCGTCGAGCATGCAGGGCACACTTGGAGGCATCGGGCTTGCAGGGAACATTTGGAGACAATGGCCACACAGGGGCAGGTGAATACTGGAATCACAGGGGACAAGGATTTGTAACAGCCCATTTCTCAAAAGTCGAGCCATGCCTGGCCTAGCCTTTTAAGTGGGCACCAATCATGGAAGCTACACAGTTATACAGTACACACTGGGCAGGCAATCCAAACTGATTCCCGGGAGTGGTGAGCGTTACAACCAGGATAAGGATACTTATATTAAAAAAACCAGTGTCAGTTATTTTCATTGACATTTGAAGTTTACAATAGCACGGCTTAATAGAAATCCCTGCACTGGCTTCCACTTGCCCAGAGGATAAAATTCAAAATATTAACAACCACTTACAAAGCCATCCACAACTCTCACCCGGCTATATCTCAATCCTTGTCTCAAAATATCACCCTAACCGTCCTCTCCGCTCTTCAAAAGACCACCTGCTTTCCAGTTCCCTTGTCAACTCCTCCCATGCTCGCCTCCAAGACTTCACTAGAGTCTCTCCCATCCTCTGAAATCTATCTCCCACACTGACTGCCTTTAGGCAATCCCTTAAGACTCATCTCTTCAGGGAAGCCTATCCCACCTCAACCTAACCACTGAAATATCAATTTCTTAAAGAATTCATCCCCACGCAGCCACCTCCTCATGTATCACTGGCCCCTCCCTTTTAGATTGTAAGCCCTCCCTTGTCTTGAATTGTATTGTGATTGTAATGTCTTCCTTATATTGTGAAGCGCTGCACAAACTGTTGGTGCTATATAAATACTGTATAATTATAATAAAGATCCTTATCGTCATGTAAAGCTTTGTGAATTGAGCCATACTGTGTGTATTGGGTGCTTTGACATGATGTAACTCTAAATGGGTTTTATTTAAGCCGAGTCTAAATCAATGTTTTGTTTTTCTTTCCTGCAGCTCCTGGGATTGATCCTTTCCATGTGCCTCTGCCGGAAGATTCAAAACGAAGATTACAACGCCCGCTATCACGCCATTCCGATAATCCATTGCCTTCCCTCCAACATTGGCCCCATCTGTGTATATATACATATGTATAGCCCACCTACCATTTACCAGTCAGAACAGGGGGTGTTATTGTGAAGCGTTTAACCCTTCGCTGACCTGACAGACTTTTTTTCTTTTAAGAGGTGAAACATCACCCGAGATAAAATCGGGAATTTTTGCAAAATTGCTGACTTTAGTTTAGTTTTTGTGTGTAAAGGAAGTTTAGTTTTCAGATTAATATGTTCAAATAAGCAAATGGAAGCTTCAGCAGGCTTGGGCAATCCACAAGCAGTCGGCTGGAAGCTACGAGTCCCATAGCGGTGCACTAGGGCTTGTTGATCCACAGCAGTTGTGGATTGCTGGAAGACTTCCAGTCAGAAGATATAGATTGTTACTAAGACATAAGGATGGGGTCTTACCTGTGTCTGCGGTTTGAATTTGGATGCAATTGCTGATAGTCCACACTGAATTGCGGCTTAACATAACCCCAAAGCCCTGCTTGTAACTCCAACATTTCTATATGTGATCAGGACAATATTAGCCATTGAAGACTGCCAGCTGAGCCAAACATGACCATGCCCAAATTCACCAACCGGCAATTAGAGCAAGTTCTAGCTCAGCAATGGAATGGAATTCCAAGCAGATACAACCTCATTTTATTTATTTTAATTCTGACTGGCTTTCTGTTTAAAGGGTCAATCCACTCAAATGCTTTATTTTTGATAGTTCAAGTTAACTACTTGGCTTCTTGTTAGCAGTAAGGCCTTCCTACCATTGTTTCTGGTCCTCTCTTGGAGGTTCCAGACCACTTTTGAGTATTTCCAATGCTCCTGTTGCATATTTAAAACCAGACTCTGGACACAATATTCTTACCAGGGTTAAAGCAGTTAAACCTTGCTTTGCTTCAAAGGGAACCTCCCATCATGCAGGCTGCCATTCATTATGCATCAGGGCAGCTCCTGTTGTACTTCCAAGCTGCTTGGATGTAAGCACTGCAGGCCTCATAGACCCAAGCGCTGAGGTTGAGTCTCTGCTCCCCCCTTCTCTACTCCATTCGCAGAACACATGGCCCCAGGCTTAGCTTTGTGAGGGGCCAGAAGCAGAGGGAAGCAAAGACACGACCATAGCTTTAGGGTCTATGAGACCTGCAGCGCTTACATTTGAACCGTCCAGAAGTTCAGTGGGAGTTGTACTAATCCAGCATGTAATAAAAGCATATTTGCCAGATGTAGAAGAAAGCCTGCAAGACGGGAGGTGACATTTGAAGCAAAATAAGGTTCAACTGCTGTAACCCTGGCAAGGTTTTTGTGCACAGATTTGGGCTTTAATATTGCAATGCCTTGACTATCCACCAGGGGGAGTGTGACCACCAAGGCTGCAGCAGTTGCATGGAACTGGGAACTCAAGATCTGATCATTGGCGACCCCTGGAGTCATTCAAAAAACAGGTTTAAGTTCTCAGAATGTACCAGAAAATGTCACTTTTAGGTTGACAATCCTCTTAAAGGTCTATATCTCCTTCATGCATAGTGCTGCTGGACATGATGTGCCAAAGTGTCCTCCGTTGAGGCAGTTGACTGGTACTCATTGATACTTTGCTCAGAGCTGGCCTCACTGAAAATTCAGCATGCATTATCGGATGTGCATGTGACACTGAGCAAAGCATCGCGGAGTATCGACTGTTGCCTTCAAAAGAGTGAACTGTTGTGCAGTGCACACCTTCATATACTGCACCTGGTGGCAGTGAGCATGGAGTTGCTCGGGACTCCCCCGAAGACCGTGTCGGGCACAAGCCCTAAGCCTGCTGGGCAGCAAGATTTCATTTTTGTTATGAATGCTTTGTATAGAGACATGTAAAAACAAAACAAAAAAAAAAAGAGCAAAGCTATCTAAATAGATCATTTTATTTCTGTATAAAAAATATTAGTTGTAAATAAATGTGTAGTATTCAGTGGCGTGGTCTGTGTTTATTTGACTCTGTGGGTTTTTGTGAAGCTAAAAATGTTCTATGCCCTTTCAGGAGCTGGGAGACTGATCCCCTGCTTCAGGGAGATTTCCCCCACAATGTTGTCACCCAGAAAGGAAATGAGGAGCAATCTCTGACGTGAAATCTCTAGCAAGGATTTTTACTAGATTAGAGGAAGCCTAAAACTCTTGTCAGCTTTTATTATGTGCGCTTTGGTGATTTTTCCTCACTCCTTCCTCACCTAACAAAGAAAAACCTTTCCATTTCATTCTGAAGTCATTATGATTTCCTGAAACTGCCTAAAATCTAGAGGTTTTTCTTGCAGGTGTGGCAACTTGTGGGCACGCTGATGCCTTATACAACCTGGGGGTGTGCTTTATGCTCTGTACATACTCAAGGCATGCTGTATGCTCATTACAACGTGGGGGGAATGCCCTGTGCGCCCTGGGGAATGGTGTATGCCCCGTGCACCCCGCGGGAATACTGTGTGCCCTATACAAAACAGGTTCCTTCTGATGTTTACAAGGAGCTTGAAGTCAAATCCCGAGCATCCCCTGTGGCTGTGGCAGGCATTTCACTATATTTAGATCATTCTAAAGCGTATGTAAAGCTGCCCATACACCTTACAAACATCGCACGACTTTCGTTGTGCGATGGTTGTAAGGTCATTAAAATTTCGTACGATCTGCCCATCTTGGACAGGCAGATCGTACTTGCGATCATTGCAAGCCCTCCCCGCTGAGGGGAAGGCTTCCGATGATTGCAGTGCTGAGCGGGCAGTGTGCGCTTGCGGCATTCGTCTGCCGAGCACGCCACCAACCCGCCGAAAAATCGTACGATTTTCGTCAGGTTTTCCAGCGTGCTCAAGACGAAAGTCGTGCGACCGTACAGTAGAAGCGGTCGCACGCTGCCCATACACCTGCCGATTATCGTACGATCGCGGTATCACCCACAACTATCGTACGATAATAGTCAGGTGTATGGGCACCTTTTAGGCAAGAATAAGAGATTTGTCTTCCCTCAGCAAAACTTCAACAGCAGGTGGAGCCCTTGATTCTTCCTGTAGTACAGCAATAGTGTTACATTGAATGAGCATTTGCAACACAGAAGGAGCTTTTCTCAGTGCAAGCCTTTATAGTGAAATCTTTGGCACAGAGAAGTTCTGATGTGTAAAGAAATGTTACACCATGCTTCACAGTACTATGAAATCAATCTCTCCTTTCTGCTGGATAGTACAGCTCTCCCCATACATGCAGCCCCCACTGAATAGGAGAGATGCTCGGCTCCTAGACTGCAGTGCTCCTGTCTTTTTTTTAAACTTTTGCCTCCCCTTCCCCTCAGCCATTCATAGGACGCCATGAGTTCTATAAATGAATAAAGATTACCCAGAGAATCTGAACAATTACATTGATGCGTGCAAAGCCAGCTTCTTCTAAGTATTTGTAATAAGAAAACGTTTTTCTATACTGGTCTGGAATTTGTTTATATCCCAACTCGGGTCTATTTGTTTATTTTATTTATTAAAAGGTCCTTCAAGCTGTTTATAGAAATAAAATCAGCTGCCATACTCTCCTTCAATCCAGAGTTGCCACCACTCACACTACCTCTTCTTTGCCACCACTCACACTACCTCTTCTTTGCCACCACTCACACTACCTCTTCTTTGCCACAAGATGTTCTCAGTGTTCTAGGTGGAATAATGCCCAATATATGTGAACCCAGAAGATGGAGTAAATGCAGAACATCACCATGGCATCCTTCACTTACAGTCTGCTGATGCATAGAGAGACGCTGGGGTCATTGCGTCAGTGCTGTTCTCGGTGAGGAACACCCAGTCTTGAGAGGCGGTGAAGAGGACGAGGACCTGGTGGTCTCAATTGAGCAGCATGAAGACTTCTGGAAAAAAAATTACATAAAAATCAAAAACTTGTACCCCTGTATATTACGGTCCTAAGGGACTGTAATATACAGGGGTACAAGTAGTACTCCTAGGAATGAGATCCTATAGGTTGGACTTGATGGACTAATGTCTTTATTCAACCTCAAATACTATGTAACATATGTAACTATGTAATTGCTTGGTCAGGATCCCAAGAGCAGTCAAAGGGCGAAGTGGAGGAGGGGGGTGTTGGGAGCGGGTGGTGCACGAAGACTGGGGATGGCCTTTAAATGGGAACACCTGCCAATTTTTTTTTTTAAATGTATACTATATAGATAGGAGTAATCACATTTGCTGCACAGTTGTATCCGGTTCTTCAGGAGCAGCAAAAGACAGACATATCTTCTTTGGAAAGTATCCAAATACAACACATTAAAATAACAAACAATTGAAACAGAAGTGTTAGCGAAGAGGGGGAAAGCAGAACCGTTTACTAGCGGACCATAAAAGCAAGTATAACCAGTGTGTACAAACGCACACACGCCAGATTATTATGACCACCCCATCAGTACTTCGTTGGGCCGCCTCGTGACTCCACGAGATGGTGAAAGGTGATGCGAGGAATCTGACACTGCACTGTTGGCCATCTGTTGTCTTGTACCAGTCTTGCCCCTCCCCCGTTCTGCCCTAACATTGACTAGTCGCTGACGGCCACAATTCGCATGTTCAGACCCAGATTTTGGGCTGACAGTCCAGTCTTTGAACACTTTAATGAGCCCCTCTTGAACATTTAACGAATTCTGCTGTTTTGCTGATACTCGCTCCATGGCTCCGAGCGCCAACAATCATCAAAATATAAGGTGTCCCCAAGAAAATAGAAATCCCTTACTCTGAGCCGGTTCAATAAACAGGTAGATAATACATGATTTGACAGTTAGAATATTTAATCATAGAAAAAGTTTTAACATTACATCCACAACAAGACATTTAAAAACAATTAAAAAACTTCCCTAAGGTAACAAATATAAGAATCATGGGTGATCTACAATCCAACTAAAGTGATACTATGGAGTAGCCACCTACTATACAGATATCTCATGTGTGGGTACAATGTATCCCGGGTTACTCACAGCTCATGTTGCTCAGGGAGCTCAGGGGGAGACAGTCCTGCTCAGGTTCCAAAATGCTGGATGATGTGTTTGCTTCAATAGGTAATGGTAATTGGGAGCAGGAGATGGGAATAGATAGGCTG